TGGTTGATTTTCTACTTACCAAATCTAATTTTGTCCTATTTCTATTATCCCGGTGTCTGCACAAAGTTAAACCTCTGTTGTTTTTTTTGTTGTTGTTTTTTTTGTTTATTTATTTATTCATTTTTTATGGGAGAGTAGGAGTCCTTTGAGATACCAATGGTAAATTCAATAGCTGTATTCATTACAAAAGGGAAAAATATTTTTACAGTTTATTGGGTTGTCAGATAAAAAAAATCTGAAAATTATCATATCTGAGGCAAGGTTTTCAAAAGAAATTTTCTCTCTTCATATAAAAAGACAGAGATATGTTGTGATATATTGTTTGTGTGATTTTTATCATACGGGTTCATTCACCAAAACTGCTTCTTTCTTCGGATACATTCTCTCTTAAAAATAAATAGCAGTGGTCATTTTTCATAACAGTAATTGAATCATAGCATATTCTAAAACATAACTTATTTGAAAACTTTTGGCAGCATATACATGTACACAAATAGATTTATTTCCATATGCATACTATATTTCCTGTAATGTTAAAATAATTGCTCTGTGTTCTTCAGACTGAAGGATATTTTTTGTTTTACTTAATTTTTATGTTTATTCCTTTTTAAAATTTGGAAATCAAGTTTGTGATCAGAATGTCCTCAGTGCCAGAAAATATGGTTAAATTATGTTTCATTGGATATGATGGACAAGTAAAATTTTACATGTTTTATTCAATTTTTCTAGGGTTCTTAAAGTTTTCCTTTTATGAGGACAAAAACTTGTTAAAACTTTCTATAGTCCTCATGAAAGAAAAACTGTAAGAACACTAGAAAAACTGAATAAAAAACATTTTCCTTGTCCATCATATTCAGTGGTGTATAAAAGAAAGATTGCTGCCCAAATATATATATATATATATATATATATATATATATATTTTACCATTACTGCCTACCCAATAATTGTTAGGATAATACAATAGACTACCCATAATGCACCACTGGGCAGCATATATAAATAGGGAAGACAAAGCACAATACACATGGCTTGAAGATTATATTCATGCATGAAACAGACTGTCATCATTTGGTGCTAACCTCAGCTTCCATTATTATATATATATATATATATATATATATATATATATATATATATATATATATATATATTTATATATATATATATAGACACTATATAGTATATTCATTATATATATATATATCTATATATATATATATATATATATATATATATGTATATATATATATATATATATATATATATATATATATATATATATATATATTATATATAATTATTATATATATATATATAAACTTATATGTATATATATATATATATATATGTATATGTATATATATATATGTATATATATATATATATATATATATATATATATATTTAATGAACAAGAAGGATTTCATCCTCCTTGGATTTACTAATTTTTTACCAAATTTTCAAACTTAAATATATATATATATATATATATATATATATATATATATATATATAAAATTATAAGGAGAGATATTTAGATAAATATATGTGTTCTATTATAAATGATTTTAAAAGAGGCTTTTAAAAAAAAACATATCAATTTATCACACGGTTTTACACTAAACTGTTTTTTAATCAGTTCAGTTCTGTGCCATGCGTGATACACACTTAGGCGATCATGTATTTTTTGATAAATGACTGATGAGGCAAATTTTTTTCTTGCAGGAGGTTGCCATTTCTTTCTGCAGTAGACCAGTTGCCATCCAAGGCTATAGAACCCAATCTGTCCTGCTGTTTACACATAGCTGGGCGGGGGGGGGACGTTGCTAGATGAAGAGGATTCCTACCTTTCCCAAGGGTAGTAGCATGCAAGTGAATGTAATGGATTCGACTGGAATTCAAACTCAACTCTCCAATTCCTCAATCTGGACTGCTATTCATTACTCCACCATATTTTTCTTTTCATAAATTTTAAAAGGAATACATCAATCTGCCAATATTTTAGAATAACTTTTTTCTAACAGTGATTATCCACATTCTTAAATTCTGTAATTTTTACTTTCTTCTCCATGCTTATTTGGTTAAAGTTCAATGAACTTTCTTTGTTTAAAATGTCTTCCCTTATTTTTTCCTTGGTTCAGACTATTTTCTTGCTTTCTGGGCATAGTTTAAATGTAAATACTTCAGTGTCTTCTGAGTGCTTCCACACATACAAAAACATATATTTTTAACCCTGGTCTCAGAGTACAGTTTCCTCTTGGTCCCTAATACTTAATGCCTTGGTTATACCACAAGGGAGAACATGATTAATAACAAACCTTATCTGCCTTGGAAATTGAACTTTTTAATGCTAGAGAGAGATAGTCACACACATCCTGAGAAATGCTACTCAGTCCATCCTGCAACAAAATACTATGGGCCACAGATGCCACAAATTAACTCTGTGTAAAACTAATCTAATACATATGAAAGGAATACCATTTACATTTCATTTACAATTCCATTACAATATAGAATGGTTATGAACATAGCTGGTGGTAAACGGTTTCTAAGAAGATGTCACAGATTTACTGGTGTACACAGTTCAATCCTGATTGGCTTCCCCCAAAAAATGTCCTTCTGTCAAATCATGCATACTTAGGATTTACCTTGTATACAGAGTGAACTGAAAGTTATCATACTTTACTATAATATTATTTATTTAACACAGTTATGTTTTCACTTTAATGAGCATTTGAAATTTAATTATTTTAATTTTATTTATTTGAAGTCTGAATTCATAAGATAACGTTCTTCTTCTATATGCCATGTTCCTTCAGGATGTGGGTGATTAATGTTCTCCACAACTTCCTATCCTTTCCAGATCTTAGAAAGGTTTGTTTTTTCATCATCTTTCTTAATTCCTGTTCTACTATCCATTTACGCAAGTTTTCCTCAATCTCTTTTGCTTTCACAATGTCCTGTCAGTGTCAAATTCTCCTAGCCTTCTTTCTTCCTTATATGTACTAAATATTTCAACTACTTCTTTCTGATTCTCAGTTGAAGGTTCCTTTTTCTTTGCATTTTTCTTCTAAAGTGTCCTTGTTTGTCATGTGTTCAGTCCATGATATTCTCAGCATCGTTCTCAATTATTTTTTTCATTTGTGTGGAGATTGTCCAAAAATCACTTCCATATTGGAGGACTGATATTGCATAACTATTCAGTACTCTTTTCTTTGTATTTAATGAAATTTTTCTGTTTCTTATTTCTTTGTTTAGATTTAGGAAGGCATCTTTCACTATTCCAATATACCTTCAGTGCTAAATTTTCTATTAAAACACTTCTCAGATACTTAGATTTTTATACTTGCTTGATTTTGGCATCTCAGATTTGTAGTTCACATTTTGTACTGCTCCTCCTGCTGACAATCATATATTTTGTTTCCTTATAATTGATGTTAATACTTTATTCTTAGTTTAATGTCAGCTGAATATCTTATATAGTTAAGTTTGTGGCTGCCAATAACAAATCCTGATAGGACTCCTAATTCTCTCTGAAATGCCTCACTTTAAGGGTTGAAGAAGTTTGATAAAAAGACATATTGTCCCTTTGTATTTTTATGTCTTTACTGACTTTATTATTTTTCATATACAAACGGTTTGCTCCCAGTTGAAGTCCTGGATTGTCCTAGTATCTTCTCCAAATAAATCAAGCTTACCTAGTAGTTCTTTGTGTCTTAACTTATAAAAAGCTTTTGGATAATCTATAAAACATAGGTATATATCCTTCTGTATCAGTATTGCTCTTTCTGATATCATTCTGAGCATAAATATCACATTCAATATTACAGCATCTAATAATAATGTTATATATTACAACTTTTGTCCCACTGTACTTATATGCACATAGTTTCAGTATTGTAAACATATCGTATTCAATTGTTTATATATGTTATTATTGTAATTGTTATATTTAATAGGTTTATTTGAGTAGACACCTTGATTTTTTAAACAGTATATGTTAATGTCTACTAGCCTAGAGATTTAGAATCCTACTAATAAAAATATTCCTCCTAACAGGAATCAAACATGTATTTCCATTCGGATTGAGGAATCTGAGAGCCAAGTTCAAATTCTAATTGAATCCATTACATTCACTTATGTGCTAATATCCTTGGGAAAGATATGAATTCTTGTCTTCTCCCCCCCACCCAGCTATGGGTAAATAGCAGGACAACTGGGTTCTATAGCCTTGGATGGCAACTGGTCTACCGCAGAAAGAAATGCCAACCTACTGCAGGAAAAAATCTGTCTCATCAGTCATGTATTGAAAGATACATGATCACCTAATCATGCATCACACATGGCACATAACTGACTGATTCCATTTTTAATCAGGGGAAACTACTTTAAAATCAAGCAGTTTTTATCATTGAGACATGAGATGCCATTACAGCAAAGAAAATAGGAATAAACTTAATGAAGATATGCATGTCTTTTGTTGGAACATTTTGAAACTGCTGCCTTTACTTTTGTTCCCTGAACATAAAGTAATTTTTCAATCAAGTAATGATTATTTTAAATTCAATTTTATTTCTTCTTATAGTGCCCCCATGGCCAAGAGGTCAAGAGCCCTAATAAAAATGTGTCTCTCCTCTGGAATAAAACCTGTATTCCCTTTTTCAATGAGGAAAACTACTTTTAAATTAAATGTGCATAACCATTATGCCACAGGAAGGTATCACAGCAAAACAAGGCTGCATACTCTATTTACGAAATTCACATTGCTTGTTGGGATCTTTTCAAATATGTGTCTGCTAAATTATATAGAAAGTAATTTTAAAGTAATTAATAATTTTTTTTTAAAATCCAACATTATTTCTTATTAGTGTAAAGACAGTAAATACTCACACACACACACACACACACACACACACACAATGTGTGTGTAGGAAAGCAATTTACTGAAATGTGTTTTGTATACTTGCATACTTCTAGATAATATTCATGTATAAAGTATGCAAATCTATCTATCTATCTATCTATCTATCTATCTCTCTCTCTCTCTCTATATATATATATATATATATATATACAAGCACATGAAATATCACCCTCATGTATTCACGCACATGTACACACATATATAAACATATAAAAATACGTACATATAGTTGAGGCTTCAGAGTGGAAAATATTTATCAGATTGTTCTATAATGTCAGCAGCCTCCAAATTGCAAGCCAATCTTTTATCAGAAAAGAAGCCATAGAAGACTTAACAGGAGATGACTTGCGCTTGCATCTGAATGAAAATACGCAATTTCTGACACAAGATTGACACCCCTCTACATTACAAAGAATTGTTAGCAGATGGCATGTAGGAAGCTCACTGGCAAATAAATAAAACCCTCAAGCTAATAGGTGAGTCTTCAATAAACAAAGATACCAAAAGAATATTCTTGGTTTTTTAAAGATCAGAACTTGATAGCCGGCCTTATTCATTCACAAGTGACCATTACATAAGACACTGGTGCACTCATGTACAAACATCAGTGTATTTTGTCACTGATGTATTTACAAAGATATAGGAAAATAGATATTTCTGAGGAGGTGCTGATAAGTTCTTAGTTTGATTGAGAAAGGAATGAACGAAAGCTATGCAACATACATGTTATTCTAGATAGTTACCTTGCAGTTCAATATAAGAAGCCTATTGTTTCTCAAGTTTCTTTAACATCTGTCTGTAGTTCTGAGATGAGGTATTGTAATTATTTACACTATTTACATTGTTCAGACTGTTGTCCTCATTTTTTTTGTCATGTTCATGATGTTTCAGCCTGTGCACTCCAGCCTTCTTCAAGTGATTGGAATTTTGAACTGAACCCTTTATTTCATCCACCAGGATAGATTGTTCTGACACATGGCCCAGTATATAAAAGTGTTGGTTGATGTAATCCTGTGACTTGACCCAAAGAATTAATTATTTAATTAGTTACACAATTTACATTGTTTGGACTGTTGTCCTCATCTTTGTTGTCATATTAATATGGAATTTCAAACTGAACCCTTTATTTTGTCCCCTGGGGTAGATGCTTCCACATGCCATGCCTCTTCTGGATATCTTAGTGTTAGTTATTTCCCCTCTTTGGGTTAAGTTACTGGATTACTTCAACCAGCACTTTTATCCACTGGGCCATGTGTCCTTGAGTTTTCCTTTAACACTTCCCCCGCCACCCAATATCTGTTATTTGATCATTGGAATTTTGCTTTGGTATTGTTATCACCTCTGAAACATTTATGAATTTCTTCACTTTCAAGCTCCTTTATAGCAAGATCTTATGTGTAGGGCAAATGGTCTATGGACCCAAACTTTAAATTGTTTAAACATTCATCATCTTACCAACCCTGTGAACAGGTGAATTGTCCTGTAAAAAAGGAACATCTTTCCATAGCTTTCCTTATCATTTTTCTATCAATGCCTCTTTTAGTCAGCACAGCAAGTTAGAATCATATTCTGCATTAACTGTTTGGCTCTTCTGAAGAAAGTTAGTCATTAAAATACTTTCCTTAACTCCTTTGGGCTTTGAATTTTTTTTGCTCTAGAGAACCTTAGGACCAATACAGAATAAACTGTTATTTGATCTCTAGATAATAACCCTGTTTCATCAACAGAGACAATTCATCCTAAAATATCCGTGTAAAGGCTTGACATCATTTCTGTTCAGGATTCAAATATTTTGCAACTCACTTGACTGGCAACTTTTGCATACCCAGCTGTACAGGAATTATAAATACATATTCCATGGATTTGTAATTCTTTTGACTGATGATCAATAATTTCAAGAGTTTACCATTGAAATCCTCCTCAATGATTCAGCATTTTGAGTATGAACAGTCTTAATACTGGAAGTTGAAGTAATATTTTTTCACAGTAAAATATGATGGACACTTGTCACATAATGTTTTCAGCATACACTCTTGGATTTCTGTAGGAGTTTTCTTCTGCAGAAAGACAAATATGGCCAAGAGTTTAATACTTGGAAATTCTACAGATTCTATGTATGTAAGTATATATTTGACTTTGCATAGCAAAAGAAAGTTAGTAGATATAAGCTCCAAACATTAGTGTACATAGGTTTGGTGATATCTGGAGCTAATTCCTTTATTTTATGCCCCTAAGACTTAAGTTAGGAGTGGGGCCTATAGAGTTTAGCACTTTGGAAAATCTTTGAAGTGTCTTTGAAGTTTACTGAGTTCTTTATTGCGTGTATATATTTAATCTTTAAGAATCTTTGTAAATTATTATTTTACTTTATTTTGGTGAAAAGTCATAACTGAATATGAAATGCATATTTGATAGTGTTTGCTCTTCATGGGGAAAAGTACACCAGACTTGCTGAAGCTTAAGTAATGATGCAGTAGGTACAAGAATATTCCAAGAATGGTGTGCAAAATTTTTTTTTCTTTTTCCTTTGTGCTCTTGAAATATATAGAACTTGAAAGATAGAAAATTGGTTGAACTTTTTGATGATGATTCAGTATGAAGACTACATAACATTAAAAAAAAACTTGAGATGAATCATTGTTTGAATGACTTTTTGGAAAAAAAATGAATACAATATGGGAACCAGTAATAAGGAGTACCAGAGAAAAGTGATAACAACAACAAAAATTGCAATATGAGCTCTGATAAAAAATGGTTGCTTAAGACATTAGGCTTATAATACCCAGAAATTCATACATAGATGTCCTCAAGGACACATGGCACAGTGGATAAAGGCATTAGTTAGATCCAGTGACAGGACCCAAAGAGTATGAGTCCAGTACCTGGCTAGAGCAGGGAAGAACTTTCAGAGGGAAATTAACAGGAGATAACTGATAACTGACATCCATTAAACATGGCATGTGGAACTAGAACAGTGTACCCCAGTAAGCGAAATAAAGGGTTCAGTTCGGCATTCCAACCACCTGAAGAAGGCCAGAGTGTACAACAGCTGAAACATTGTAATAAATATGGTGATAAAGATGAGGACAATAGTCCAAATAATGTAAATAACATTTGAATGACATTTTGGAAAAAAATATCTTTTATGAGCACAGAAGTTGCCTGGTAATTTTGCTTCAAGATACTGTTTGTTCACAAACTGTAAATATGATGAAAAGAAGTAATAGGGTTAGGAAGTCTTTCCACATGAAGTGTCTTCTCCAGATATATCACTCAATGTGACACTCGACAAAGAGTCTCAAGTATCAGCAGTCTCAACATTTTCAGGATGTCCATTAATTCTTTGAAGAATTCACCAAGTCATAAACCAAAACTGATAATGGGTTAGAACAGTTGCAATAATATATATATATATATATATATATATATATATATATATATATATATATGAAAATTCTATATATTTAATCAGTAGAAGACAATATTTATGAATAAAAATGACAATAGGAAAACTGGTAATTGCTGACGCGTTTCGTCCAATGTGGACTTTATCAAAGCAAAATACGAAAATGAAATTAAATGAACAAAGTAACTAATAAAAACAAAAACAGAATGTTACGAGCAACTGGAATGTAGAGAAACGCTATTTTCATATTTTTTAACTGAAAAATAACGTCAGAGATTGTCACGTGTGGAGAATATATGGAGAATATATATAATATATAAGCTCTGTTCCATCTTCAAGTGAAATTTCGCTTGAAGATGGAACAGAGCTTATTTTAACTCAATTTAATTTAAATAATTATATTGAAGTTTTCGGCTCTTGTTTTGAAACATGGGACTTCTTATGTCATGATTTGGAATCATATTTTTAAATAAATAATTATATATATATATATATATATATATATATTCCAAATATGAAGTATCCACTATAATAATGCTTGAAGTAATAAAAATGATGGATTAAAAATAAATCCGTTAATTCTTTAGAAATTGTTTTGTTTCATTATGAATACAAAATTGAGAAGATATGTAGTTTTTTGAGAAAATAATATAAGTGAAGAGGATGTGCTATCCTTAAAAAGGAAAAAAAAACCTTTCTTACTGTGATATTCTTTTGGCTGAGTGGTAAAGCATGTCAAATCTAACAATGGTTTCTCCTCCAAAGAGGGTTGAAGGTTTGATTCCAAGATACTTTGCTAAGATTTCTTGAATGCACAGGCTGATAGACTTAATACACACTGTTTAATAAATAAAAATGAGGCATCTATTTCAGATACTGGTAGCCATTATAATAATAATGTCTGAAGTAATAAAAATGCTGAATTAAAAATAAATCCATTAATTCTTTGGAAATATATAAAGATATATGTTTTTGTGAATATTTATATGTAAGGATGACACGTCTTGCTTTCCACACTTTTACAATACTTCTAAGTACTATATGCTAGAAAATGTGTATGAGCAAGCATGTCTGTTTGCATGTGTTTATTCATAAACATGTGAGATAGATAAAAAATTCTGCTTGCAATGGAACTATAAATGTCTGATAAAACCAAATTGACAAGGGGTTAATGATCTCAATGTGTATAAACATCTATTGAATCAGTTTTTCTCCTTCAGCTTCTTGCAATGTTATGACCATTCTTCTTCAGAAAATGATCACAGTTTTTTTCATTTTCCCTGTTTTGTCAATCTGTCTCCATTCCCTCCTCTTTTGCTTTATCCTCTTCCTTTTCTGTTGATATTCTTCCACTCCTCTTTGCTCTTTTTATCTTCCTCACTTCTTTTTCTTCATCTTCTTTTCTTTTTTTCTCTTCTTTCCTACTTTTCCTTCTTTGCCTTTTCTTTGTCTTCTTTCTTTTTGGTTAGTCATTTTCTCCCTCTACCCTTTCCTTTCTCTTTTCTCTTTCTTTTTTCCAGTCATCTTCCTTTTTTCTCTTCTCTCTTTCTTTTTTTCTAGTTACCTTCTTCTTCTACTCTTTCCTTTCTCTTTCTTTCTTTTTTTCTAGTCATCTTCTTCTTCTGCCATTTCCCTATTCTCTTTCTTTTTTATCTTCTCCTTCTATCCTTTCCTTTCTTTTTTTTTTTATTAATCTTTCTTTTTTATTCACTTTTTCATTTTCCTTTTCTTTTTTGGCTCTTTTTGTGACTTTCTCTTATTTCTTAATATCTATCCATCTTTCCTTTCTTTACTTCATCTTTTTATTCATCTCTTCCACTTATTTTTTCCTCTTTGTTCCACTTTCATTCATTATCTGCCTATCCTCCTCAGTTTCTCTTTCCTTCATTTTTTTTTTATTCATCTTCTCCTTCTGATTTTCTTTTTTCTTTCTCCTATTACATTTTTTTGCTTTCCTTCCATTTTTTACTCATCCCTTTTTTCCTTCAATTTTTCCTGTTTCTTTCCTCATTTTACTCATCTTCTCTCCTTTTTCATCTTTACTGTTTTTTCCTTCTTTATATTACACTCATTATCACTTCTTTCCTTTTTCTTTAAAGAGTTTCTTTTAATCCTTTTGTTACTATTTTCTCTTTTCTTTCAATACCTCATTACTACTTATTAGCTTTGATTTGATAAGATCAACCTTAAATCCTGATGTTGATATCAGTTTTTATTGACCATAAAATATCGCAGAATGATTCTATTGGAATTCTTTGTTTTCTTCAACTTCATTCCCTTACCACCCAAGATTTCTTTCTTTGAAACAAACTTTTCTTAAGCATCTCACAATTGGGTGTTAGCCAACTCAGCTCATTTAAGGTTTGTTTAACTCACCTGTCGTGCAGGTGTTTTTCTTCAGTTAGATGAATTGGCAACATGGAAAAATGAGGTATTATGGTTTCATGATAGAAGGAATGACTAGGCTTATCATGAATAGGTAACCAACATTAATACCTGCTTTTGTGATGATTTAAATCAGTCTTAGAATTTCTTACTTACCATGTTTGCAAAGAATCTGTTCATTAGTTTTATTTTATCTTGAGATTCTTTATTTATTCTGCAGTTTATTTTCTATTTTCCACTTATTTTTGTCTTTTCTTTTTATTTATCTTATCTCTTCCACTAATGTATTTTTCATTCATTCTAATTTTATCAGTCCTGACATCTCATCTTCAATCAATTTCCTAACACTATAACATAGCTTATCTGTGCCTTTTCTATAAATATTTTTGTGGTAATTATTCTGATGAGCTTTCCTGTTTGGTAATTTAACTTGATGAATTTAAGTGCTGTAATAGATTGGTATATAGATCTCATCCTTTTACAGTTGAAATTGCTAGTTGTAACCATAAGTTCTATGCTAATAGTTTCTTCTCTCGCACTTCTTGCTTGTGGAACTATATTCTTGCCTCTTGATTTCAAGTCAAATTTCATTATTGTTGTAACCTATTGATGGTTACAGAATAGGATAATCACATGAAGGTTGGTAATGAACAATAATACTTAGGACATGAACAAAACATATAAGATTTGTCAGCAGTGCGTAGAAGTAGTCAACTGCTAGAAGTGAGCCAAGTGAATTCCACAAAGAATCCCTAACTGCAGACCAACATACAGTATTTACTACTGTATCTATGTGAATAAGGACATACCCATTATCATCTTTAGATATGCTAAAGCAATTATCTTCTGTTCTCTTAAATCCTTTTCTTTTATTGTTCTCCCTCCTTAATGTATTCTTCTCAGATTTCTTTCACACTAAATAACTCCCTGTTTCTTAGTAGCTTTATTGCCTTGCTTGGGGTGAAATGATACAAAATAATTAATGACACTAATCCTAATTCCATTAATAACCTCCACTGATGGAAAATAAAATTGTGACACATTGAAGATGTGTCTAATTTCACTCAAGATTAAACAGACAGATAATGATTTTCCAAGCATAGGTTGGATGTGGAACAATGCCAAAAGTAAGATACACCCAGTGAGGATCAAACTCACTACTCATTTTAATTGTTCTGGTGAGACAAGCTTGCTAACCATTACACCACCTTGAGGTGCTCAACAGACAGATAATATATATGGATTACAATAGATGATTACATATACAGATCATTCTTTACATTATTCGGACTATTGCCCTCATCTTTGTCGGCATATTTATTACAATGTTTCGGCTGTTGTACGCTCTGGCCATCTTCATGTCGAATTGTACCTTTTATTTTGCTCATTAGGGTAGACTGTTCTAATTCCACGTGCCATATTTAATGGATGTCAGTTATCAGTTATCTCCTGTTAATTTCCCTCTGAAAGTTCTCCACTGCCTTAGCCGGGTATTGAATTCATACTCTTTGGGTCCTGTCACTGGATCAAACTAATGCCTTTATCCACTGTGCCATGTGTCCTTGAGCGAAATAAAGGGTTCAATTCAACATTCCAACCAACTGAAGAAGGCCAGAGTGTACAACGCCCGAAACGTTATAATAAATATGAGGACAATAGTTCAAATAATGTAAATAATGTACATAATACCTCATCTCAGAAATATAGACAGATATACAGATCAATATATGTGTAGGACCCAAAATAAGATGTGTGTCAGCAGTACATAGTACCATATCAATACAATATACATCCACCTTAGATTTTAACACAGGCCTAAGCTCTCTCATACATATAATTATACTGATAAGAAATGCATCATGTAATGCATTATTCCATTTCTCTTGTAAAAATGAACACAATGCGGCAAGAGTTGTAGGTGGGTTAATTTCACAAGTTGGATATGATCCCATCATGTCATATAGTTGTTTGCGAGAGGAGAATTCTAGTGATCATTCCAGCTAGGAAATTTATCAAACATCCTGTAGAACATGCTGAGTAAAAGAGAGACATGTAAGCAGGCATTATCCTGCTGAAACAGTATATCACCTTTCTCTTGCAAGAATGAAAATAGGTTGAAAAATAATTTATATGCATATGGTGTTGTTCTATATTTCAACAAACACCAAGGAAGATTTTTAACTTATGGCACATCATACTGCTAGGTTAGGCCTGTGTGTCATAGTGAATACACTTTGGGTGTGACAGCTTCTAATGTCATACATGCAAACATGCAGTTATATCCCTGAATATTACAGAGAAACATTCAATCTCCAGGTGACCCTCTAAAGAGACCACTGAAGATAATCATGGCTGTGTTGTGACATGTGGATGTTTGGTTAGAGGCTAGTATATAGGAAGATATACTACATATAAATAATTCCCAACTATACATATTGACTTATATGGCTGAATTTTCTCTGATCTTCTTTGTTGACCCTGTGTCAGTCTTGAGAGCATCTGTACTACATGGCCAACCAGCACCTAGGCTACAGATGAAGGAATATTCATTTGATCCTTATTGCCGCTATCAAAACATCAACAATGTGTTATGTATAAATGATACTGAAAACCAACATCCCTTAATTTCTTGGCCCCACCATTTGCTGGAAATAGAAATCAATCAGAAATATAGAAAATTAAACTCTTTTGCTCTAATCTTTTTTTAATATCATGTCCCTTCAGTACATTGGCGATCATGGTTCTCCACAGCTTCCTTTTCCTTATCTGTGGATTGTCATTACTTCTCGGTAAAGATAGAAAAATGTTTTCCTGTTCCTTTCATCATGATTTTGAATTTAGAAGATTCTTTCTCAGAGAGTTTAGTCTACCCTGCTATTTAATCAAGAGCTGCATGGAAAATAGGTTCATGCCTTTTCCAAGGTAATTTATGCAAAAGTTAATGATACTGTAACATTCCATCATCACCGAGCAGACCCTAAATTTTGTTCAATGATGATGAGCAGTTGTATTCTTTCAGTGAAGCTCCATGCCATGAAATTTATTGGTAGTCATTTTCACCCCAGATCTCAAGTGTAATTCATATAAATGATTGCTAGAGATGCTGGAGAAATGGCCGTTCCTTTTGTTGCCTCAGAAAGTATCTGACTCCTCCTGATATGCTCTGTCATTACAAGAGTCAAATCAAACCAAAAAATGGAGAATTGCTGCCATATACTCATTTTGACAGAGTTAAAATGCATTGATGTTGCCATTATTTTCAACCTTACAATACTTTTCCTACAGACAAAATGTTGCAAGTATCTCATTACTGTACTACGCAAGACAGTACCTGACTCCTTCTGACATGCTCTGTCTTTACAAGAGTCAGATCAAACTAAAAATGGAGTACTACTGCCACATCTGGGCTAGAGTTGCTCAATTATCACTTTCCAGTCTTGACCAGGTTCAAAAACATTTGTGTGAACTTTTGGGTGAAGGATCATTTTCCACTATGCAACCTCTTTCTGCTTGTTTATGTGGTCACTCTAATTTGGCTATGTTGAAAATACCTAATAACAACTCTACTTTTGAAATAGATGATACACTGATAGCCTCTTATTACTCTACATGGTAAATGATTGGGCAAATTACAATCCTTGGTTTCACCAGGCCAGACCTTCAAAGCTTTGATCCACCAGGCCACATACACAAAGTCAACTCATTCACATTTCCTTCATATTCCATTGGTGAGGAAGAAGTTCCACTCAGCCAGTTGCTTCTCTAGAACTGCTGCATTATGGAATGGACTCCCAAGACAATGCTTCCCTGATCACTATAATAATAACCTCTTCGAGCCAAAGGTCATCCGTTATCTGTCTTACATATCCTCACAATATGCACTTATTTCTCCCTCCCTGTATGCCTTTACAACAACTTCATGTCATAATCTCCTAACTTGAGTGCCTTTTGGGCTATGTATTGGGTTAACAGTAGTAAAACATAAGTGACTGCTCATGTTCTGAAGAAATAATGCATTTAATTATTAAAGAGGAAGAGTATATATTATATATAATACTGATGATAACAATGCAATCTAGAGTGTGACATTTTGGTTAATTTACAATAAATTACAGCTAATCTGATGCAACTTGTGTTCCCATATAAAACTGCAATAAAGAATCCATAACAGCTAGATCTTTTATTCGATTGGCGGCTTTATATCAAACCTTTTATTTGATTGGCTGTTGTAAATCAAATTCAGCCAATCTTTTATCAAGAGCAATATCAACAAAACAAAAACAAGATTTCTGCTTGTTTGTGTAGTCACTCTAATCTGGCTATGTTGAAAATACCTAATAACAAATCTACTTTTGAAATAGTTTGTTTTCAAGTCGATGAACTTATCTTCTGTTTCTTTTTAGTGTTTATGTCGTCCCGGTGGCAGACATCCATCACTGTAATGTGTTACAACTTATTTCAATTCTAAACAGATTTGATAGCGACATAAAGTCAGACCTTCCTTTTTATCTTCTTCTTCTTCTCCTTGGTAGTCTTCTGCCAACTGTTTTTCCAATTAACAGAAACATATTCTGCCAGAATGGGTATAACAGATTAAAGAAACCATCACTTTTCTGTCTGAGATCCTCTCTGGCAGCAGAAAACTCAGGAAGCTCAAAGTTTAGTTAAGAAGAGCCAACAAACCCAGATCTTGCTTGTAAACATCATTGTTA